AAAGCGAGAAATCACCCCCCAGGGGGGATGGCCATGCCGCAATCCCTTCTCCTCCATTCTCCTCTCGGGATCTTGGGCACGCAAGCACACGCGCCCTGGCGTGAGTTTAAGCCACTGGGTCTGGGATTCGAACCGTAGTCGACTACATGGGCGTCCAGAGACATAGCCATTACGCTAACTGCTGGTCCCCAGCCTCCACTTTCTCATGCAAGAAATGGGTGTAGGGTCAGCTGGTGGAGAGGTGGTTAAGGTAGCTGGACCTCACAGGGCTGACTCCACGGTTCGAGTCCCAGACTCGGCCACTTGGAAAGCGCACCCAGAGGGGCTGGCAGGTGGCATGGACTCCCACATGGCTGACTGCGGTTTGAGTCCCAGACCTGGCAGCTTCCTTTCTCACGTTTCCTCTCGCTCGCTCTCTCTCTCTCTCTGTCCCTCTCTGGTCAAATTAAAATAAATAAATAAAGTTCAATAAAATAATTTTTTAAAAAGAAAAGAAAGAAAACTGTGTAATAATGAGGATTCGACATTGATCAGACATGGGCCAGCCCTGTGGCCTTGTGGTTGGGGAATCCGAATCCCATACAGCTGAACTGGTTGTTCGAGTCCCGGCCCTGGAAGCTTGAAAAACACACCAGGTGAGCACATGCCCCCCACCCCGAGCAAAATTCTCTCTCTCAGAAAATAATTCTCCATGGGACCAGCAGTTAGCGTCATGGCTATGTCACTGGACTCCCATGTAGTCGACCACGGTTCGAGTCCCGGACCCGGTGGCTTAAACTCACACCGGGTGCGTGTGCGTGCGTGCCCAAGATCCCGAGAGGAGAATGGAGGAGAAGGGATTGTGGTGTGGCCATCCCCCCTGGGGGGTGATTTCTCGCTTTCTGTCTCTCTGTCTCTCTCTGTCTTTCTGGCACACACACATGCCCTATAGCAAAAACCTCTCCAAAAAAAGAAAAAAATAAGAAAGAGTCTTGTTATAGGGCACATGCGCTCGCCAGGCAGAAACAGAGAGGCAGAAGGTGAGAAGTCACCCCCTGGGAGGGATGGCCACTCTGAATTCTTCTCCTTCATTTTGGGCACACATGCACATGCGTCCAGCGTGAGTTCCAAACCGCCAGGTCCGGGACTCGAACCACTGTCAACCATGTGTTGCTAGCACTTAACCACGATGCCAATTGTTGGCCCTGATAATTAATTCTTTGACTAAAGACTCACCAAGCTTTAACTCCTTCCGTGCCCTCAGACTAAAATGCCTTTTTCTTTCCTTTTGTGTGTTTAGATTTTTTTAGAGGGTTTTGCCTTAGGGTGCATGTGTTCTGCAGATCTTCTTTAACTTTTGTAAAATTCAGCAGTGAAGCTACTGGGACCTGGACTTTTCTTTGTTGAGAGGTTATTTCTTACTGATTAAATCTCATTATTTGTTATGGGTCTATTCAGGTTTTCTATGTCTTCCTGAGAAAGTCTGGATGAGATATATAAATTCCTGGGCACATATAATCTACCATCTCATCCAGGCTTTCTTCTTTGTTGGTGTATAGACACTCATAGTATCCTCTGATGATGTTTTGTAATTCTATAATTTCTGTTTCCTGATTCATTGTGAATTTGATTTATCTGGTTCTTTTCTCTCTTCTTAATTTGTCTAGCTAATGATGTACAGATTTTGTTTATCTTTTCAAAGAACCAGCTTTTGCTTTCATTTATTTTCTGTATATTTCACTATACAGAAATTATGTAGTTCACTATATATAAATTTTCTATTTCATTTATTTCTGCTCAAGTCTTTATTTATTTTCTCAAGACATTTTCTGGAATTTGTTGTTGTTTTTCCAATTCCTAAAGACATGATATTAGGTTGGCATTTTGCCACCCTTCCATCTTTTTCTTGTGTGCACAAATTCCTATGAACATCCCTCTTATGACTGCTTTTGCAGTGTCCCATAGATTATGGAAGCTTGTGCATTCATTATCATTTCTTTGCATGAATCTTTTTATTTGGGTCTTAATCTCTTCAGTAGTCATGAAGTCATTCAGAAGTAGTTTTTTTTTTTTTTTTTTTTTAGTTTCCATTTTTTTTTTTTAGAGGTTTTTGCTATAGGGTACATGGGCTCACTGGAGAGACAGAGAGAGACAAGAAAACAGAGAGTGAGAAATCACCCCCCAGGGGAATGGCCATGCCACAGTCCCTTCTCCTCTTGGAATTTTGGGCACGCATGCATACATGTCCAGTTGAACCACCGTCAGCCATGTGGGAATTCCAGCACCTTATAACCACTACAGCACGTTCTGGCCCCGGCCCCCCCCAGTATGATTTTCAAACTGCCGGGTCCAGGACTCAAACCACCATTGGCCATGTGGGAATCCAGTGCCTTAACCACTAGCCACCTGATGTCCCTTAGAACGCCCTTCTCTTGCTTGACGAACTTCTCAAAGGCCAGCTCCGGGGAGCCACACCTCCAGGGAGCCTCCCGTGATAACTCAAGCATAGCCCTTGTCTCCTGTTTGAGGCTCTCAGCCTCATCCCTCCCTCTCCCTGCCCTAAACCTCCAACTCTCCGGCTGGTGGCTGCACGGGGACCCAGTGGGAACTGAACACAGGACAGGGAGCCATCGGCAGGTGGGGCTCCTTCTCTGACCCTGAGGGCCCGCGCCGGGTGGGACTCTGACACTTTGCAGATTTCCTGCGCCCTCTATAAATAACCCCCATGGCTGCTTCCCACAAACCACCTCACTCTTCTTGGAAAAAAAGGATCGTAGCCAAGGTTACTGCCGTGTGCCAGGGCCCCGGGGGAGGCGAGAGGGCGCGGGCAGCCTGCCCGAACAGCAACCCCGTCCGCAGCCAGGTCCAGGCTCTGCTCAAGCCCTCGGGGAACCCTCTGCCGTCCCCCACTTCGAGCCCACCCCCAGGGAACCCGCCTTTCTTCTTCTCTGGGTCTCAGTGCGTTTTCCTGGAAAATGGGTGTGATCGATTGCTCCCTGGACGGCACACCGCAGAGGCTGGAGAGGCGATCAGTGATCAGCGGGAAGAGACAGCAATGAAGCCCGTGGGGAACGGGGAGAGCTGATGGTGGTGGGTGATAGCGCCAAGTCTGACCCACATGTGAAGGTTCCCGGTTCGAGTCTAGAGACCTCCTCGAGCTTGTTGGGAGCACATGTGCTCAAGACCTGAGGCTGCCTGAGGTTAGGGGTGCATCATCGTGTCGGGACGCCGTTGGAGATACCTGTCTCTTTCTGTCTCTCTGTCTCTGTCTCTCGGGTTCATGAAATAAAGATACTTACGAACAAAGAAAGGAGAGGTTGGCAGGTGGTGTGGGGGTTAAGGG